ACGCAAGATGCTGCTGCAGGGAGCCCTGCGTTTACGACTCCCTTTGGCTGTCGCTCGGGGATTTGGCACACGGCAGGGACCGTAGTGGAGGTTTAAGTCCTCTGATTCTTCTCCCTATTTTCTGCACCCGTGTTCCCTGGGGACTTACCGTGTGCCAGAGGATGGGGCTGGCATAGTGAGAGCACAGACAGGGTCCCGCTTACACGGGGCTCAGATTCCAGGGCGATCTTCCAGGTGACCTCCTCCCCCTCCCAGCACTGGCAGTTTGGTGTGGGCGACTCGAGTCAGCATCCACCTTCCGCAGGAGGAGCCCCCTTCCTTATAATCCGCACCCCCTCTCCCCCAACCTCACGTCCGACATCACCGCTGCCTCAGTCTCTTTCTGTTCCCTGCCAGCTTCTAATGAGCTCATTATCCTCTTGAAACCCATTTGGCACCCACTTAGAGAAAAGATGTGTTGAAATATAAAAGAATGGGAAGGGAACAACAAAAAGGAACTAAACCCAGAAATATCCTCAGAGAGACACAGCCACAGGGAACACAACAGCGGAAATCTTTGCTGTCTCCATACCCACAGCAGATGTGCTCCTTGCTGTTGGCAAGGGGCTCTGAAGGCGGCTCACGTGTGCTCACGGGAGGGGCAGGGGCTGAGGGCTTTTCTTGAGCCCCTACTATGTGCATCTGGGGTATAGTTTTTTTTTTTAATTGAGGTATAGTTGCTTTACAATGCTGTGTTGGTTTTCTAGTATACACTGAAGTGAATCAGCTATATGTACACATATCCCCTCTGTCTTGGGCTTCCCTCCCACCCTACACGGCCATCCCACCCATCGAGGTCACCATAGAGCCCCAAGCTGAGCCCCTGTGTCTTCCTGCAGTTTTTAAGGCAATCCTCCAAGCAATGTATTTTGGGGGGAGTGTCAAGCTTCTTATATCCACTTCACAGGTCAGGAGCCTCAGTCGCTGAGAAGTGTCTTGCCCCAGTCACACAGGTGGTGGATGGAAGAGGTGGGATTTGAGCCCAGGTCCATCTGCCTGCAGAGTCCATGCTCTTGCCTGCATGCCTCTGGAAGGGCCGGTGTCCCTCCCACCGCCTATTCCCATGAGGGCTGCTGGTCTTTCTTCATCCTGGCCCAACTGCGGAAATCTCTGCCATGTGAGTGATTCATGTGGAATACCAGGGGACACCCATCACTGCCTGGAGGTTTTTAAGCTGATAAGAGGCTGGTTTTTCCAAAGTGTCAGTGTGACCATGAAACTTCAGTTAGAGCATAGTCCAGACTTCTGAGCTTGACATTCAAGGCTCCCCAGGGTCTGACCCCAACCCACTGCTTCACTGCCTTCCTACCATGCCCTAAGCTCCTCTAGTGGCTCAGAGGGTAAAGCATCTGCCTGCAATGCGGGAGACCCGGGTTGGATCCCTGGGTTGGGAAGATCCCCTGGAGAAGGAAATGGCAACCCATTCCAGTATTCCTGCCTGGAGAATCCCATGGACGGAGGAGCCTGGTGGGCTATATATAGTCCTTGGGGTCACAAAGAGTCAGACACGACTGAGCAACCTCACTTCGCTCACTGAGCTCCTCGGCTTCCTCCACCCCTGTGCCCTGCCCTGAGTGTGTGCTGTTCCTCCTCCCTACAGTGTCCTGCTGTTTCGTCACCCAGAAAGCTGACTCCTCCTGCAAGACCTGCCAGCTTAAAGAGCCGTTCCAGAGGGAAGCCCTCTCTGATTCCCCTCAGGGCAGCTTCAGACCCTCACTTCTCGGGGCTCCCTCATTCCGGGGCCTCTTACCCCAGGGTGCAGAAACCCCTTGACATTGTAAGCCAACATCTAGGAACTTTTGTGCAAGCGCTCTTATCTGGGCATATGCCCGTAGTTTTTTTTGCCATATTCTCAAAGGAATACAAGACTAGAATAGATGCATGGTTAGGAACACAAGCTGTGAAGTCCAGATGAGCTTGGGTTCACAAGCCAGCTGCCACTTAACAGCTGTGTGGCCCTGGACAAGTTACTTTATCGTCCTGTGCCTCATTGCTCTCCTCTTTGAAATGGATCTAGATCTGCCTCGTTGGATTGATATGAGGACTAAATCAGAGCATTATGTTTGTCGAGCAGTATCTGGCATATAATACGTGCTTGATAAACATTAGCTGTTAATATTAATTGGTATTCTATATCTTATATATACATCTACTATTGGATTTATCATTGTCTCTCTAGTATAGTGATTTAATGTAGTGATTGTTTAAATTGCTCTCTCCCTCAGTAAACTCTGAATTCTTTGAAAGCAGCAACTCCAAATTACTTTTTTTCAAATTCTTTATTTCTGCATTCCAAGCACACGCACGGTAGACAAATAACACATGTTGCTAAATGAATGGAGGAATGGGTGGATAAGTGGGTGGGTGGAGAGCTGGATGAATGAGTGGGCTGCTACAATTCAGATGAATAGATAGATGAATGAATGGGTGATGGATGGATGGGTGGATGGATTAATGAACAGATTAATGATGAATAGTTGGAGGGGAAGGGGAATTGATGGATAGATTAGAGAATGAATGATGGATAGGTGAATAGATTGTGACTTAATGGATGGATGGATGGGTAGGTGGACTGCTGAATAGATTAAAGAATGATGGATGGATGAACAGATAGTTTGACCCCACAAGAGTGTGCATTTAGGGCTGTCTTGTTCATTGAATAGTTCCAAGTGCTTACAACGACAGCTAGTGCGTGTAGGTGCTCAGTACTTATTTCTTGAATGAATAGGATGGCATATGGAGGAACACTGGACTCTACCTTGAACCAGAGTTAAACTCTCCTGCTGCTGTCTGGATCGGTAGGGGCTGTCACCATTCAAATCACCCATTGGATGACAATTGAATCCTTTGCAGTGGCCAAGATTGTCATGAGGCCCCCTGCTGGTGGTGATATGAAACCACATAAGCCAAATGGAGTTTGGTTTTTTTTTCCATTTTCTAATTACAGTCTATTTTCTTCCAGACTGCTGATTCTGAGTGTTTACTGAAAAAACCGTGGTTGTCAAACCTTTGTGCTCATGGCCATCACCTGGGAGCAGCTGGTTACACCTGTAGGTTTCCTCCTCACCCAGAAATTCCGGTTGGAGAGATTAGGAATCTTCATGGATAGCCAGGCTCCCAAGGGATGCTGAATCAGATGCTCCTGAGACCACACTCTGAGGGGCCCTCGTAGAATGAGCTGCCACTGGTCACTGGGAGCAGGTGGAGATGGGCTGCTGCTTCGGGGGCTGTCTCGGAACTCCCAAGCGATGCCCAGACCGTGTGGGAGAAAGAGTCAAAAAGCCGGGGGTTCGGAGCTGTGCTTTTGTGTTCGGACCATCTTAGGTTCCAGTCCCACCTCCACCACTCACCAGCTGTGTGTCCTCAGTTTCCTCATTTGTAAAATGGGAAATAGTCACTTCCCATGGGAACACGGGAAGAGTAATTAATACACATAGAAGGCTCAGTACAGAGCAGGGCGTGCCATACACACCATACAATAAATACTGAGTGAATGCGTATGTTGCTAAACAATTCTGCTTTCCTTCCTTCTCCTTTTCTTCCTTGGATAGAAGAGAGGGGCTCTGGATTTGAACTCTTCCATTACAACATGACCCCGGTGAGAGAAGGAACTGTGTCTCTTGGGTTCACAGCTTTATTTCCAGCACCTAGAACAGAGCCTGGAGGAGGGCATGGCAACCCACTCCAGTATTCCTGCCTGAAAAATCCCATGGACAGAGGAGCCTGGCGGGCTACAGTCTACATGGGGTCCCAAAGAGTCGGACAGACTGAAGCGATTTAGCACGCATGCAGGACAGTGCCTGCTACACAGTAGGTCTTCTATAAATATGTGTTTGGGGGGGAAAATGAACAAATTTGATCTAGTTCAGTATCAGCCAGGTCCAGCAGACAGTCTGCCAAAGACCTAGGAAGTACATTTGGACTTAAAGTAACCCCCATGAATCAGCATATATTTGACAAATATGCAGACTATTGGGCTTAAGAAAGGCTTCCCCCACGGCTCAGCAGTAAAGAATCCGCCTGCAATGCAGGAGATGCAAGAGGTGCAGGTTCCATCCCTGGGTTGGGAAGATCCCTTGGAGAAGGGAATGGCAACCCACTCCAGTATTTGTGCGTGAAAGATCCCATGGACAGAGGAGCCTGGTGGGCTACAGTCCAAAGGATCGCAGAGAGTCAAACATGACTGAGTTCTGAGCAGTGGGGCTTAAGAACCTGAGTCTGTCCAAGATACAGCTTGTCCCGAGACGAGGCCCAGTAGGAGTCGCTTTCACCCAGCACTGCTGGGTTCTTTGGGCCACTGGTTTCCTCCCTCTCTGGACTCTGCATCCCCCCTCCCTTGAGAATGTGCAGGAAAGCTTCACGTTCCGGCCTCTGCCAGGTTTCTAATGTCTGTACCTGTGCTCTTTTGCAGGTGGCAGCCCTGAGCCCTAACGCTTCACCAGAAGCGTGTCCGCTTCTGTTTCCACCAGGGGGACAGGCCGAGCTTGGTCCCCAGCCGGGGAAGAGGCCCCCGGTGAATTAATCCAGCTCCCATAGGCCTGAGCATCCGAGAAGGGGCAAGCGAACTCCAGCTGCCTGTGAACCCTCACAAAATCCTCCTCCGATTGCTATTTTCCAAGTTCTTTGGGAATTCTGAGGCAGAGAACAAGATGTAGGAAAATGGGACCAACTCCTGAGTGCCCCGAGCCTCCGAACCCCTTTCATGGCCCAAAGAAGCTCACCTTGACCTCGGGAGGATTGGTGAACCTTGTCCTGTCTTCTCTTGGCATCAGCCAAGCATTGGACCTGCCCTCCTGCCCCAGATTGGGCAGTCACCTTCACAGCGGGATTAAGACTGAAGACCCCCAAGGGCTCCATCCCTAAGAGAAGCTTGAGAAATAAAGCCCCCATCCATTCTCTCCCTGGACCACAGCCCCAACCCCCAGCTGAGCCCCAGCGATCCAGTCCGGAATGATCCCACTATGGCCAAGCTCTGGTTCAAATTCCAGCGGTACTTCCGCAGGAAACCCGTACGCTTCTTTACCTTCCTGGTGCTCTACCTGACAGCTGGGAGCCTTGTCTTCCTTCACTCTGGTTTTGTGGGTCAGCCTGCTGTCTCCCAGAACCAGGCCAACCCCGCTGCGGGGGCCCCAGCGGAGGGTGCTGAGCTGACCTTCCTGGGTGACTTAAATCTGGGCAGAGGCTTCCGGGACACAGGTGAAGTCTCAAGCATCGCCCGCAGGTATGGACCCTGGTTCAAGGGCAAGGACGGGAATGAGAGAGCCAAGCTGGGGGACTACGGGGGAGCCTGGAGCCGGGCCCTCAAGGGGAGGGTCGTCCGGGAGAAGGAGGAGGAGCGAGGTAAGAGGGGTGAGCTCTGGGCTGGAGGGCGGCTGAGGACAAGGGAAGGGAGTGATGATATTAATAATATCATAGTAGCAGCTGCCAGGGTTCAGTGTTTCATAGAGCCAGCCACTATATATGCAGGAGGTTTCACAGAGGAGAAAATTGAAGCTCAGAGGCATTAGGTAGCTTGCCTAGGGCCACACAGCTTATAAACATCCACGCTTAGAGCTGAACCCTGAATCTGTCAGAGTTCAACATCTGACCCTCCCATGTAGCCCTTTATAGCCCTTGTTACATGCACCTGAAAATCAAAACCCCGAGCATCTGCTGAGCACTTACTAAGGGCCAGGTACTTTCCCAAGCACTTGACAGGCATCAAATTACAGCCACAACTCCATGTCGTAGGTGCTATCGTTCCCATTTTAAAGATGAGGAAACTGAGGCCCTGGGAGCCTAAGGTCACACAGCTAGCTAGTGGCAGAGCTTCTGTTCCCTGCAGTCTGCCTCTCCGTCCACTTAGCTGGATCCCTTAGTGAGGGCGCTTAGGGGACTTCGTTTCATTGCATTTTCTTAGCCTGTCAAAGTCAAAGTGGGCTTTTCTTCCTAAGTACATCACCTCACTTGATTTTCACTACACTCCATGGACTTAAGGAATGTGATCCTATGCCCAGTTAACACACATGGAAACAGGCTTGGAGAAGTGAAAACTTTCCCCAAGGCCACATAGCTGGTCAGTGACGAGTTCTAAGCAGACACATCTGGCCTGGATGCTGGCTCTATGACTACTTCCCAGGGTCAACTGATGTCCCCTCATCAGCGCAGCATTCTGGGGAGGACCCCACAACTCCTGCAATTCATGAGATTAACACGAGTGGACATTTCCAGAATCGCAGCCAGATGGTTTGGGAGGATCTACCACCAATCAGGACAGAAGGAAAACCTCCACAGCCTTGTGTTCCCTGCCACATGTCACACTTCTGCTGTGATTCAACTTGTGAAAAACCCCTTCTCCCACTGTGGAAGGAAGCAGGGCTATTGGAGGGGACTTATCCTGGGCAGAATGTTTCCCTACTTCAGTCCCAACCTGCTTCTGGCTCAGGAGCCATCCAGAAGACCCCCCATCATCTTATCCTCAGGAATTTCCTAGAATTCCACTTCCTTAAAAAATTCACAAGGCAGTGAAGGAGAAGGTGAGAAGTAGCAGAATGGCTTAGGGGACTTGGATTCATAGTCCAACTCCACTCCAACCAGTCATGCATTCCAAGCCAGTGGCTTGACCTTTTCATGCCTCAGTTTTATCATCTGTAAAATGGGAACAATGGTCTCCTTCCTGCCAGGCTTCTCCTGAGAGTTTGATGAGACATGATTATGGAAACACCTAGCATGATGCCTGCACAGAGTAGAGTCTTAGGGGTGATCAGGAAGGTCTTGTGGATCCACCTGGGTCAGGGACCCCATATTGTAGGCATAGCTGAGGTGTGAGGCGCTACCTTGATGGAGAAATTCCCTCGCCACCTTCTCCAATCACCAAGCTTCATCTCACCCCAGCCACTCCAAAGTCCTTCTGCTACTTTGCAAGCCCCATCAAACTTAGGATAAATTCCAGAGCCCCCAGCATGGCCCACCATGTTGTAACACTTGGTGTTACGTGTTGTAACATTAACATGTAACACTTCCCACCCACTTCACCACACTTCTCTCTCCACTTTGCTCTTTGCTACTCATGAAACACACCAATCCTGATCCTACCTCAGGATCTTTTTATAGTTTGTCCCTTCCATCTGGGATACTCTTCCCATATCGTTGCATGGCTCCCTTCCTCCCTTCCATCAGATCTCCAGTCAAACCATGCCATCCCGTAGAGGTCATCCTGGAATGCCCTAAAGTAGCTCCATTTTATGCCTGGTCAGGACCACATTTCCTAATTCTATTTTTGTCACAGTACTTATCACCATCTGAAAATATCTTGCTTTTATTTGCTTCCTTAGTTTTTTATTTTTTGAAATTTTATTTACTTATTTTATTTTTGGCTGCCCTTGGTCTTGGTTGCTGCGTGGGCTTTCTCTAGTTATGAAAAACAGGGGCTAGTCTCTAGTTGCAGTGCACAGGCTTCTCATTGCAGTGGCTTCTCTTGTTGTGGAACACAGGCTCTAGGCGTGCGGGCTTCAGTAGTTGCAGCAGGCAGACTCAGTAGTTGTGATACACAGGCTTAGTTGCCCCACAGCGTGTGAGATCTTCCTGGACCAGGGATTGAACCAGTGTGCCTGGCATTGCAAGGTGGATTCTTAACCACTGGACCACCAGGGAAACACCTTGCTTCCTTATAGTCTGTCTCTACCACTAGACTGTCAGCTCCATGAAGGCAGAGATGGTACCTGTCCCGATTGCTTCATTCTATCAGCACCTTGGACAGCACCAGAAACAAAGCTGGTGATTGGTGGACAAATGAAGGCATGGCCAGCCTGCTGCCTGGGGCGTCTGCACAGGGTTAGCCCTACTCTTCCTCCAGGTCTCAGCTTAGCTCACCTCCAGAAAATCATCCTGACCCCCCTCTAGGCTTGATCAAAATAAATGTTCCTTCTCTGTACTCCCTGTCATGGCCCTCACGTGAATGGTGATTTCCTGTGTTTGCTGAGGTCCTCTGACAGAATATGATTCCGTAATGGTACAATTGATACACCCAACAAAATAGAAACACCCACCCCCGTTTATTATGAGAATGAAATTCCACTGCCACTGTTACGAGTAATTATTACCATTTCTTGAGCACCTACTTCATGCCAGCCACTGTTCTATTTGCTTTTCATATATTGTTTGAATGAAATGATATATGTAAAATGCTTATCAGATCTCTTGGTTTCTAATAATAGGTCACTTAATAGTTGCTGCCACTAGTATCAATAGTAGTAGAAATAGTATCTAAATATATATTGAATGGTTATTATAGGCTAGACCGTCATTGTCTTATGTAATTATCACAGCAACTCAACAAGCTAAAGATTATTATTATCTTATTTTGCAAACGGGAAAATTTAAAACTCAGAAGTCACTTACCCCAGGTTAACCTGGTGGTGAGTAGAAAACCTGAGGTTTGAAGCAAGGTTCATTTAATTCCAAAGCTTGTGAGGCTTCTTGTCCACTATGCTACCCCACCCCTTGCTTCTGGAAACCTTAGATATTTTAGAAAATAGAGAGAGTGAAGGAAAAGAAAATAAGAAAGAAGCCTGGAGCACAGAGCTCTCAGCAGGCCGCTTTGAAATCAGGCAGTCTTATTAAGAAAACACAAATTCAGACTGTCCTTGATTAACTTATTCCGAGTTCAGCAAGGAAAGACAACATATTAGATTAGCGCTAATAAAAATGAGATGCTTCCTTGACCTGATGCTAAACACATTTGGTTTTTATCTGAAGTTGGCAAGGGCTCTGCTTGATGCAGCGATGCAAGACTTAAGCTGTAAGGGACTCAGAGCCCATCACGGGCAGGAGGGGAGGGTGGAGCTGCTGCCTGGCTGGGCTGGGGCTGGGCAGGAAGTCTGACTTCCTGGGTGGAGCTGGCACCTGCAAGGTGCCAGTCACCTTGCTAGGCTTTCGAGATCCTGTGCTCTGAGCAGCCACCTGAGGGTTCAAATCCCAGTTCTGCGGAGGCTTGTGTAGCTCTGGGCAGGTCACCTCAGTTTCCTTTGGGAGGTAAAAGGTACTTAACATCGGATGTCTGTTGTGATGATTATATAAGATAAATCGATGGCGTGCTCTCTAAATGCCAGGCACTCTTGCAGCACACTTTGCAGCTGTTACATCCCATAGTCTTCTTGGCAGCCCAGCTAAATAGACACTGCCATTAACTCCCCCTTCCAGGGAGGAAACAGAGGCACAGAGAGGTTAGGTAACCTGCCCGAGGTTAACCAGCAGGAGGAGAGGATAAATCAACCTTTGAACCCAGGAGGTTTGGATCTTACACTTGAACCCTCAGCGCTACATCATCTCAGTTCTCGGTGCACAGACAGTGTTCAGCACAGACCCTGGAAACCAGTAAGCACTTAATGTGTGCCGGTTGTTATTATTAATATTGTAATTCTGTAGGAGAGAACAGAGGTGCTGTGACTTGCCTTAGGCGACCCCGTTGTCAGGAGCACAACCAGGAGCCGACTCCAGTTTGATTTCAAAGTCTGTGTTGTTTCTGTTTCCCCCGCCCCAGATTACAGAGGGTGTTGGGCTGGGCGTGAAGAAGGACACAGGAGATTTAGTCAGCATTTTTGGAAGCGACCACAGGGCTCCCACTCCCCACCTCCTCCAGCAGAAGATGCAATCTCTGCAGGTTATGGAGAGTCAGTTCTGGGTCAGACTGTGCTCATACTCAGCCTCATGTCTGTAGGAGTATTAAACTCTTTTTCATAGATGAAGAAACAGAGGCTCAGAGAGGTTAAAGGACTTGTCCCATGTCACACAGCTGCCAACTGGCAGAGCAGACTCCAACCCGACTCTTGTTTACATCCAAAGCTCTTCTTCTTTTTTTAAAAAAATAATTTTGTTTATTTGTTTTTGGTTGTGCTGGGTCTTTGTTGCTGCATGGGCTTTTCTCCAGTTGCAGCTAGTGGGAGCTACTCTCTAGTAAGGGTGCATGGGCTTCTCATTGCAGAGCACAGGCTCGAGGACAAGCAGGCTTCAACGGTGCGGGCTTTGTGGTGCGCAGACTAGCTGCTCTGAGGCATGTGGGGTCTTCCTGGAGCAGGGGTCAAACCATGACTCCTGCATTGGCAGGTGGATTCTTTACCACTGAGCCACGAGTTCAGTTCAGTTCAGTTGCTCAGTCGTGTTTGACCCTTTGCGACCCCATGGACTGCAGCACGCCAGGCCTCCCTGTCCATCACCAACTCCTGGAGTTTACTCAAACTCATGTCCATAGCATCGATGATGACATCCAACCATCTCATCCTCTGTCTTCCCCTTCTCCTCCTGCCTTCAATCTTTCCCACCATCAGGGTCTTTTCCAAAGAGTCAGCTCTTTGCATCAGATG